AAATGCCCAGTTTAGAAAAAAAATCAGAACCACACGTTTCCACAGAAAGGTCACGCCAGAAAATTGAAGGGTCTGAATTTTCTAGAATACCTATCACACCAGTAGAAACTATGTATTATGTGTAGCAGGATTTCTGAGTTAATTTCGAATTTCCTCTACAGTATACGAAACAGGTCTCAGGCACAACACGTTAGATCTGCAAAAGGCTTCATTACCCTACATGACTACGTGCAATTCCGTTAGCCCTGGAAAAGCATTCTTTCAAGAAGATTCGCGACGTGCTGTGGTACGAAGGATATCTTCGTTAATGAAATGCCTGGGCGTCTTCCAAGTAGCAAATGAAGCTCCAAGTACCTGAGCAATCGTCTGTATCAACTCACCAAGCTCCTGGCTCATATTGTCCACCCAGTCCAGGTTAACCATATCCGGCAAAATCGCCTTCAAACGCTCGCCCTTCTCCGCAAACCTTCCATCGTCGAATGAAGAGAACACTTCATTATTTGTTCTATGGTCTAAAGAGTACCAAAAAATGAAGCAGCTAATTTTTCCATTTTCGAGCCCGATTGTTCAAGCCTATGCCGTACCTCCTTCTGGAATATCGCTCCGAAAAGTGTTTTGAAGGGAGATATGTATTCATTTCTTTCCTCCAAACGGCATTTCGAGGGAACTTGCCTCCATCACAGCTTTTTGTCGTAGAATCTTAAAAAGGTCGTATCCGTTCGTCGTAAGAGTCTATAGGTGAGACTTTTTATCTTTGCCAGTAAAGGATCGGATCTGAGCTGCCGTTTATTCCACTCACGAGCATTCTCATCACCTACTCAGCAGCTAACCTGCTTTAAATCCTTTGGTGTAACGTTTTCGTATATATGAACAACTTTCAGGTCTTCTAGGTACTCCATGATTATGTACCCTTTGACTGGGTTCCATTCTGTGAACATCTTCGTGCAGTAAATCTGAAGAATCAATAATTCAGAGGATTGTATCACATGAAACTTGAATGTTGGCCTGCTTTCACTTAACGTTTGCCTACTTTATCAGAAGAATCTGAGTTGTGGCCTAAAGTGAGAGCCCAGACGGACTCAAATCCGCATCTCCCGCTGATCGGGCAAGTGTGTTATCCATTACGCCACCGGAGCCACTCATGCCGTTGCTCGATAGTGTAGTGGATAACGCAATCGGGCAGCTGAAAGTGCGGGTTCGAGCTCTGTATAGCATCTCATTTTTGCCCTCGACTTTCAAGGCATAAGTTACACTTTATTGAATTCTGATTGGACATTTCCACCTACCATATTCAACAGCACATTGTACACTATCATGATACTCCGCCACAGCCTTCTGGACAAGCGCCATCGAGAGATTCTGGCGCGACTGCAGTGCCGGGGCCACTGTAGACCACCTTGAGCTCCGCCCGAACCCGGTAATCGAAGGGGTTTAGGTCAGGTGACACACTTGGATATTCCGTCTTCTTCAGGTACTCAACGCCCTTCCATTCCAAGTAGGCGAGAGTTTTCCAACGCCCTTCGATTCCATGTGGTGGCACCCAATGCTGTAGCAGTACAAAGTTTCCAAGAAGGTACGGGCGACGACATGTGGGGAGGATATTCTTCTCGAGTTGCTCGATGTAACCGCCAGCGCTCACCTTCAGTCCGGGGTCCACGAAGAAAATATTGGTCTTTCCATTCCAGGTGCGTCCGGTCCATACCATCAACCCGCGTCTTGGCGACTGCTGTGAAGATGATGTCCCAGACCGTGGCGACATTGTCGGAACCGCTCGATGTTGGAGCTCTTCCAGAATGAGAGGA